TTTCTGTAACTTTTCCTATCTCCCTTGCATTTTGTTTCCCTTCTCTTCTCTGCTATTTGTAAGGCCTTGTTGGACAGCCACTTTGCTTTCTTGCATTTCCTTTTCTTTGGGATGGTTTTTGTTGCTGCCTCCTGTACAATATTTTGAGCCTCTATCCATAGTTCTTCTGGCACTCTGTCCACCAAATCTGGTTTTTCCTACTTTCTTCAGTTTAAGCTTGAGTTTTGCTATAAGAAGCTGATGATCAGAGTCACAATCAGCTCCAGGTCTTGTTTTTGCTGACTGTAGAGCTTCTCAATCTTTGGCTGCAGAGAATATAATCAATCTGATTTTGGTATTGCCCATCTGGTGATTTCCATGTATAGAGTCACCTCTTGTGTTGTTGGAAAAGAATGTTTGTGATGACCAGCTTGTTCTCTTGACTAAACTCTATTAGACTTTGCCCTGTTTTGTTTTGAACTCCAAGGCCAAACCTACCTGTTGTTCCTTTTATCTCTTGACTCCCTACTTTAGCATTCCAATCCCCTATAATGACAAGAACATCTTTCTTTGGTGTCAGTTCTAGAAGGTTTTGTAAGTCTTTATAGAATTGGTCAATTTCAGCCTCTTCAGCATTGATGGTTGGTACATAAACTTGGATTACTGTGATGTTGAAAGATCTGCCTTGGATTCATATTGAAATCATTCTATCATTTTTGGGATTATATCCCAATACATCTTTTCCCACTCTTTTGTTGACTATGAGGGCTACTCCATTCCTTCTATGGGATTCTTGCCCACAATAGTAGATATGGTAATTGTCTGAATTGAATTCACCAATTCCTGTCCATTTTAGTTCACTGACGCCCAGGATATCAATGTTTATTCTTGCCATCTCCTGTTTGACCACATCCAGCTTACCAATGTTCATAGATCTTACATTCGAAATGACCAGATAGGTGGGGTATAAATAAAATAGATAAATAAATAAATTCCAGGTTCCTATGCAGTATTTTTTTTTTTCAGCATCAGACTTTCCTTTCACCTCCACACACATCTGTAGCTGAGCGTCCTTTTGGGCCAACCACTTCATTAGCTCTGGAGCTACTTGTCCTCCACTCTTCCTCAGTAGCATTTTGGATGCCTTCCAACCTGAGGGGCTCATCTTCCAGCATCATATCTTGTAACCTTTTGTTTCTGTTCATTGGGTTTTCTTGGCCAGTTCCTGCTCCAGGTGGATCGTGTTTAGTCCGAACTCTCCACTATGACGTGTCCGTCTTGGGTGGTCCTGCACGGCATACCCCATAGCTTCTCTGAATTATTCAACCCCTTCACCAGGACAAGGCAGCAATCCGTGTAGGGGCTGAAAAAGTTACATGATTTTAAATCTTTCTCTGCTGTAGCTCTATGATACTGAACATCTGAAATTTGGCATGCATCCAAAGAGGGTCTATATTGATCATTTTAGAGTTCTCTGATTGTTAAAATTAAGTTCAATAGTGTGCAGTACTACCCTCTGTCACTAGATGGCAGGACTCCCAATCAGTAAAGAGGAAACTGTGGTCAGCCTTGGCATATTGGGTCAGCCCATGGGAAAAAACAATATGAATTTGGAACATGAGTGGTAATATTTTTTTTCACTTAGTGCCACATTCCAATTTGAGGAAGCTCTTTTCAAATCATGTTCTAGCACTGGACAGGGCGCAGGATGGAACCAAAACCAGAGTGGACAAAGCCGAAGCAAAGTATATAGAATCAGAGGTATTTCTAAACAATGTGCATTTTTTCCTACCGAGCATACAAAGCTAATTTTCATTCATGTTGATTCAGGAGTGAGTGCCATTATTACCAGCTTTCCTACTTGCAAACCAAATTCCATGCAATTGTTTTGTTGCCTATGAGCCACATCTCAGATTCCTGCAATAACTTTCTTGTTTGCAAAGATCAGCTCAGGCTGAGACTACATTGCCAAGCCAAATCACTCCAATTCGGCTTTGCTCAGATTTGATTCACATTGTCTATGTTATGGTTGAATTCGTAGTGATCACATAGGACTTGTGGATTGATATGGGCGTTCAATGTTCATACTCAATGTGATGCAGTTCGCATTTCAGCTCACAGCCCCACCTTTGTCCCTTCCTTCCTCTTGTCCCACCTCTGCTGATCTTTTCATCGTTTGCTGTCAAGCCAATTGGTTTTGAAAGGGTTGTACAGTGTTCCAGAAAAGGTGGCAGTGTTCCAATATTCTTAATGTGTACAGAAATATCACAT